GGTGGGACTTGCCTTCCAGAGGAAGAGCGCTGGGCTTTTGAGGTCCTGGGGGGCAGCGGGGAGAGGAGTTTGCTTCCTGGGGCTGTTTGGTCCCTGGAGATGGTGGAGACAGAAATCTGCTTCTTTGGTTTCAGTAACAAAGCTGGGTGTGTTGCAAGAGTCCCACACCCTGCAGGTGGTCCTGGGCTGTGAGGTGCGAGAGGACAACAGCACCCGGGGCTTCTGGAAGTATGGCTACGACGGGAAGGACCATCTCGAATTCTGCCCCGAGACGCTGGATTGGAAAGCAGCGGAGCCTAGGGCCCAGGCCACCAAGCTGGAGTGGGAAGTGAACACGATCCGGGCTAAGCAGAACCGGGCCTACCTGGAGAGGGAGTGCCCTGAGCAACTGCAGCGGCTGCTGGAGCTGGGGACAGGGCTGCTGGACCGGCAAGGTATGGCGGGAGAACTTGTGCCCCCACACTCCAGGGACAGAGCGGACGGGTGCAGGGCCGAAGCCCTGGCTAGGGTTCAAGGTGGCCGAGGTTGTGAGACTCTGGGAAGGAACTGAGGTCTGAGGTTTCCACCCTAAGGTCTCTGCCTAGTAAGTGAGATATCTGACACAGCCATGCGTCATAGCTTTCATTTTTTCTCCATGTATGTGGCCAAAGAAGAAATATCTGTGGTCTCTTGACTTAACCCAAAATCCTGCGTGCATTATGCCTTTTAGGAATCAGAGAGGTCAGTTATCACCTGAACACCAAGGCAAAAAATGAGGAAGGGAGACAACCAGTCAGAGTAGCAGAAGCCTTTGGAGGTTCAAGGTTACTTTCACAGAGCACGCCGTGGCCACGGCAGGCTAGCTGTCTTACAAGGCCTACTTTTACAAGAGTACTTACTGGGTTGAACCAGGTGACACTGCCAATGGTGCATATTCAATCATTTCTGTCCCATAAAGGACAATTTTATCTGAATCCACTTAACCTAGTAACAAAGCACGGAAGTCATGGCCAACAGGTGTGCAGGCAGCCCTGGGACAGGACAGGCTGACAGACTGGGACCGTCCGCCATGTGACCCCACCTCAGGGCAGAGTGTTGGGACATGTCTTCGGGCACATGCTGGTGCCTTCTGGTCTTCCTGGAGAGACGAGAGCTCCCCTCTCCAGCCCCTTCCTCCTCCCTATCCAGTGCCTCCTTCAGTGAAGGTGACTCGTCATGTGGCCTCTGCTGTGACCATTCTTCGGTGTCAGGCTCTGAGCTTCTACCCCCAGAACATCACCGTGAGGTGGTTGAAGGACAAGCAGCCAGCGGATGCCAAGGATGTGGAGCTTGGGGACGTGCTGCCCAATGGGGACGGGACCTACCAAGTCTGGGTGACTGTGGCCATGCCCCCCGGGGAAGAGCACAGATACACCTGCCATGTGACACACCCAGGCCTGGAGCGGCCCCTCACCGCCACCTGGGGTACAGGGGCCAGGGGCTGAGAAGGTGTCTTGTGGGTCGGAGGGAGTGTGACAGGTCGGGACGGTCTGCTGTGGGCTAGGTGGCGGTCACAGGCTCTCATTTGCTTTTGCTATGATAGAGTCCTCGCTGTCCAGCTCCCTGGTCACTGCAGTCATCAGCGGGATCGCCATTTGTGCCATCATCCTGTTGGTTGGAATTCTGTTCAGAATCCTAAGGAAAAGGCAGGCTTTCCGTGAGTACAAAGACGGAGGAAGATTCAGTGTCTCTGGCCCCAGGACACGCCGGTCCCCTGCAGGGAGCAGACAGAGAAGGCCAGGGGCTGGGTTCCCTGAGAAGCCTCTTCTCTCCTTCTATGGGGGGCTGGCCCTCCTGGAAGCAGGGGTTAGCGTGTTTCCCCAGAATGGAAGCTCCTGATTTGATAAACATCTTCTGAGCCCCTACGTTTTGCAAGGTGCTGGTGAAGGTTTTGCAGGGGCTTTGAGGTTCAGTCACCGGCCATTCTCAAACCCACATCCAGTGGCAGTGAAATCGGTAACACAGCTAGTGCGGTGACACAACACCGCCGCCCTGGTCCTAAGGCCGCCGTGAAGTCAACACCTGGGGCGTCTAAAGAAGGAGTGGCCCTTCATTTGGGGGCGGAAGCAGGATTTCCTTGGGTGAGGCTGAGACAAAGGGAGGTCTGCACAGGTGGGGCCGGGGGCCCCGTGGAGCCATCATCACTGCACCCGCTCCTGGACTTGGCGTGCCCGTCAGTCACCAGGTCTGCATTTCTAGTCCTGGACATCTGCGCTGTGGGGACAGAGGGGTACACAGAAGCCCAGGGCCATTATGTCATGTGCACTGGGGAGTCAGGGCAGGGACATAGCCAGGAGGGACAGTCCCCCCTCCCCCAGTGTGGAGAGTTTTTAGGAGGCAAGGCAGGAAGCAGAGGCTGGTGGGGCGCTGAGGAGAGGACAGGAGATGGTGCCTGAGATCGAGCGGGCCCATGGGAAGGGACTGGGCAGCGTGGCGGTGAGTGGATGAGGCCACTGACTGCAGGGAAGAGGCAAGCTGGCGCCTAGTCTGTGGTGTCTTGTCTTTACAGGAGGAGCCACGCAGGAGTACATGTTAGCCGACCTTGCATGAGGTGTGGCCGGCAGAGCTGGTGGGGAGGACACCACCAGAGACTCTAGGGTTCACGTGCGCAGCCCTCCCTGTTTCGGGACAGGGCTGGACCTAACAAGTAGGCACTGTCCCCAGAACTGGCTCCCGTGACTCTCAGGCTGCGCGTGGACACGGCCTTCATTTCCTGGATCGACTCCGACTCCACACGTCCACCTCATCTCGCCTCCTACCTCTGTAACGGGGCTGCTTCAACTGGGGACTCGTGGGTCTTTTTAACGTGTGAGGAAAGCAGTGAACCTCCTCCTCGGGACATTGCTGTCTCGTACTCCCATCGGAATTCTGCACATGTCCAGGCAATTCCCAGACCCATTCTCGTTTCCTTGCGGTCCCCTCTCTCTCTGTTGCCCAGTCAGCCGCCTGTCACCAAGCCCTGTGATCTCATCCACCAGAGCGTGACCTGGGTCCCGTGTAGCTGTCGAGCCTATGCTCTGTGTGACCACATGCACACAGGGGCTCCTTTCCCAGAAGAGGCTTCGTGGATGTTTGTGCACATGACAGTTTTCCAGAAAATGGGTGGCAAGCATCTTGAAGAGGTGCCTTTGCTGCCCCATGGGTCTCCTCAGTCAGCGAGGCCTGCCTGGGATGCCAGGCTCGAAGTCGCACAGACGGTTTCTACTTGGCCTCTGCGGACCCTTTCCTTGTTCCGATCATGAACATGACAGTAAGGACGTTGAGGATGATCGTGATCTAGTGGTTGACACTTATGAAAAAGAAAGCTCATACTTGGCACCAGGCTGGGTTCCAAGCACCATCTTACACGCATTGCCTCGTGTAATGCTTAGAATAATTTTTTCATGTTCAGGACTGTCATCCTCATTTTTTTTAAACGAAGACCATGAAGTACAGAGTGTCTCACAGCCCGCCAGGTTCAAGCTGTGTCCATGCGCCTCTGCCCCTTCTCCCACAGCAGGGACATGTGACAGACAGGAGGAAGGGCGTGCCTGTGAGACAGTCTTCTGTCTCGCTGTCTTTGCTCTCAGTGAGCTGGACCCACTGAAGGGAAGCCAGCAAAAAACCACCTCAGTCATGCTTCCTTTCAAAGTCCTGGGGGAAGGACAGGCGTGTGGCTCCCTGACTGTTCTGCTGCCACCAGCAGTCAGCTCTCTCCGCCACGCCTCTTAGGTGCTAGGACAGGATTGTCATGAGTGGTGTCAGTAAGTGGCTGTGTTGAACCTCACAGCGTCCTCTCCCAACCAGTGCCCCTGGAGTCAGAGCCTTGGTGGCATTCCCCTCCATGAACTGGAACAACGTCTCAGTAAATGTGCTGAAACTGTAGCCGCCGGAGGGCCTGGAGGGGACCTGGCATCTTCCTGGTGCCCTGAGAGTTTGGTTCTCATCCATCCCCAGCTATCAAAACATTTAGCCTAACCAGCCCCTCAAGAACAAGTAGACTCTGGTTAAGTGAGTCATCTGACCACTCTGAAGGCACTAGTGCCCAGGGCAGGGTGGTGGGGTCTGCCTGACACTGCTGCACTCGTGTGGCTGCAGAGCCGTGGCGTGGCGCCTTCTGTCCTGCAGGATCAGTGCTCGAGAGACCAAATACAGCTCACAAGTCTGTTCGGTAGGTACCGAATCTGTGCAAAGAGATGCCAGCTATTTTCTTTTAACCTATTTTTTTTCTGGTTACAAATGTTAAGTGGATAACATGTGCTTACTGTAGAAAAGTTGAAAATGAATCAAATTGAAGCTATCATTCCATTAGCCAATTATAAACTGTATTACTAACGTGTGCTTCCTCTCAGCATTATTGCTATGCTGAAATACATAAAAACTACAAATACATACATTTTAATAAGTGCATGATGAATTGTGCTGTGTGATTGATTTTCCTGCATGTGATTTTCCTGATGTATTTGTCCATCTTATGTATATACTTAACCATTATGTCATTTTGGGGACATTTATACTGCTTCTAAATTTTTTAACGTTTTGTTTTATGGAATATTTTCATTAAAGTATGATAGCTGAACTAATTGTGTTTCTTCACTCTAGAAATGTCATCTAAGTTATAACTTACGCCTTGGTCATTTTGTTACATAGAACAGAAGTCTCAAGGTCCGGGTAGGCGGTTCTCACTAAATGCTCTTCTTACTAAATGTTAAAATGTAGCACAGTATTTTTGCACTCAGTCCTAACAGGATGAACTTTACCCAGAACCTAATGGATAAGGTTAGCCGACTGCCAAGAAGAAACCAAAATGTAATTAACCAAATAGTGTGTATACGCAACGGCTCAGCCTCCCGCTTCCCGGAGACAGAGCTGTGGATGTGAATCCCGCGTCCTATATTTGTCACAAGTAAATAAATCTACCTAGAAACAACTCTGTCGCGTCCTTGAGTAGGACACCCCAAGCAGTCAAAACCTTGAGTTCAGAAACAATTTTCCCTCCAAACCATGCTGGACGCACACGGACAAATTATCTCTTTAAATATCACCTGATCCTCAAAGTCAAGTGCCTAAAAGCTTCCATTCTTCTCCTCGCCCATGGAGGACATGTTACAGTTACTTAGGCAGTGGTCTGTTTTCCACTGGTTTCATTTCACACAGGCTGACATTTCAAACACCCTAGTCACACAGTCACACATATGTTAACTATCGGCACACGTGACCTGTTCCTTGTCTTTTTTTAATCACTGAAGTCACAAATCTCCATCGTCTTTCACTGTTTCTTAGCTTAATTTTCCTGGCCTCGTTTATTCTCAAAGTCAACTATATTTGAAAAATCAAAGGCCTACATTTTAAATTCCGTATCTTATTTTGCCTCAGGTAAAACCACCTGCACACAGCGTGGTAGTGTGGAGAAAGGTGCCATCTGGTGGCCACAGTCAAACATTTCACAGTGTCATGTAACTAAAGAGCTGAGTTGGGGGTTTCCTCAGGGGATGGGGACAAAGAGTGGGGCACTGGAGATCACTGGTGGAGAAAAGCACGTGGAAATCTGAGGAAATGAAAAAACTATTCACCAGCTGTGTGAGTCACAGAGCGCTGCTGAACTTCTTGAACTGGGAACCGAACGGAAGGAAAACCAACCTGGTCATCTTTGAGACAACGTGCAGCAGTTGGTAAAGGCCTGCTGGAAGGTACAAGCAAAAAGTTCATTTTTTTCTGTAATAATTATACAGTGTTATAGTGCAGGGTGCAGTTGATGCATTCTTCAAAAACAAAGTTCCTTTAACATGCTGAAGGTTCTCATAAGCTACCACTGTTTTCTAACCACACTAATAATAACCAGAATTCAAAAATGCTTATACCGGGGTGCCAAAAACATGTATACACATGCCTTTAATTCATCTTTTGTTATCGGTATATATTAGTATTACAATTTTAATAGTTTTTTTCCCTGTCTTAAAATGTGTATACATTTTTTTGGCACCCTCTGTCTATATATCATTCCTCATCTCTGATATTGATTGACTTAGTCTGTGAGGGCGGTTCTGGGCATTTCATATCTTTGTAAAGTGTTTGGTTCATATCATAGTTTTATTTGTTTGAAAATTTCACGTGTCCAATTATCCACAGCTAGTCCCCAGGGGTTTTATATGAAGGGCCTAGCTCACATGTTGAATAAATGGGGTGCCACAGGCAGATTCACTCTGGGGGGTGAGAGGAAGGTGAAAGGCAGAACAACCTTATCTATTCTAGAGTGAGCCGCCCTCTCCCAAGACCAAACAATATCTATACTCTGCCCACAGCGGAAGGATTCGTTTTTTCACATAAATCTACATTTTTGTATACCTTTTAAATATTTCTGTTCTGACATTCATGATTTTTGAATCAAGGTCACTGAGAAAAATTTAGACGAGTGGCAATTAAAAGGGAATAGAAGAAAGAAACCACATTGTATACATCTATTTTTACATATTATTATGAATTCGAAAGCGTGTTGAGATTTCAGTTTTCCCTCTGACCTTGGACTTTTATTCTGTAAAGCTGGACACGTCTTCCTAGCTAAGTCTCCTCTTACAAGGTGTGTGTTTGTCGTGGCGAGGGAGTGGTGAAAGTTGAGAACCTAAAAACTCCCCGTTTGGGGTAGAAGAACAGAACCATTGAATCATTTCAGAAGTGCTACAACCCACAGGCCATTTAGAGTCCCCTTGCCCTCTCCTGAGTCATTTCTCTCACTCCCTGGCTCTCTGTGGTCTTTCTCCTGCCGTAGTATCATTCTAAGCTCCCAAATTTAATGGAGAGGAGGCTGTTCCTTTTCTTTCTTTTTTCCTAACTAGAATGAGTCCTACTGTGGACATTTTCAACAACTGCACAAGAAAACTAAAGAGAAATTTTTGATTTGAGATATCCCTCTCTTCAAACCATATTCAGACCCAATTCTGCTCTATTCTGCTTCCCTCCCCCAACCCCCAATGGGATTAGCCTTGTTTAAAACACCAATAATCTCATCAGAACCCTCCCAGGGTACAGCCCTGAAGGCTTCATAATGACCTTAATCAAGTATTAGCCCTACCCTATAATTAATCCTCAACTCTACAAAACGTAGGTTCTGATGTCTAAAACTGGACAAGGTTGAAAGGCATTAATGAAGGAGGGAAGCGGTGGTTGCTGGGAACTGTAGGCAGGTGAGATGGTGCAGGAGGCCAAACACAGGGTCCGGGGCGACTGCTGATCCAAGCTTCGCCTTAGGTTCCCACTCTCAGACTTTTCACAAAAAGGAGTTACCCAATAAATGTTGGAATGGAGATAGTGAAGAAAAGGAAGTTTTAGTTCGCAATTGTTTGTCTACCTTTCCGTCTTTCCAAACACAGGACCTTTAGGACCAGAGCTTTGTCACTAGGCTTCTTGTCCCGCACAGAGAAGGCTGTCAAATACGTGAGTTTAAAAGAAATATTAAAAAGACTGAAAGGGAAAGTTCCTCGCCCTCTAAACCCATCATTATTTCTACATTCCCCAAGAAACCATTATATAATTTATTAGTTAACAGGTGGAAATAAAAAAAAAATATTGAGTGGCTCTCTGTACTCAGCGTCTTAGAGCTGAAGAACACATTCAATTTACAACTACGTGCTGAAATAAAATAATCCAACGCAAAACAAAAACCACCATTTCAGAGCAATGAAATCTGAACCACCTCTTCAAGCCCGAACAAAGCGAGATTTCACTGGCCAATCAAACACTGACATGTTAATATCTTTCCCTTACTCCACCCCCTTGATTACCTAATTTGGGGGCGGGAAATCCGCGAGCGTGTGTAGTTTCCAATCAGGTCCGCAAAAGTTCTATTTAAAGAACTGTCTAAGCTTCCAGCAGTCATTGTTACTGCAGTCATGTCTGGACGCGGTAAAGGCGGCAAGGGGCTCGGCAAGGGCGGCGCCAAGCGCCACCGCAAGGTGCTGCGCGACAACATCCAGGGCATCACCAAGCCCGCCATCCGGCGCCTGGCCCGGCGTGGCGGCGTCAAGCGCATCTCGGGGCTCATCTACGAGGAGACCCGCGGGGTGCTCAAGGTGTTCCTGGAGAACGTGATCCGGGACGCCGTCACCTACACGGAGCACGCCAAGCGGAAGACGGTCACGGCCATGGACGTGGTGTACGCCCTCAAGCGCCAGGGCCGCACCCTCTACGGTTTCGGGGGCTGAGCGTCCCTTAGTTGCCACTCCAGTTTTTCCACCAAAGGCCCTTTTCAGGGCCGCCCACTGCCTCTCGGGAAGAGCTGTGCGTTCCCTTTTTTCTTATTGTGTGTCCTTATGTCACTGGATTTAACATGAGTGCGTGTATACTTGAGCTGAACACATAAGATGAAACAAAAATGACTTCACGGTAGTTAGCAGCCAGTCGGCGCAGGGACCCGGGGCCAGCGGCGCCCCCGGTATCGGGAGGGAGGAGAGGCGAGAGTAAGGGCGATTCCAAGCTTCCCGGGGGTGGGGGCGGTTGGAGAGCAAAAGGCTCCTGGGCCTCCAGCTTCCCCCGGCAGGTCCCCCGCTCGCCCTTGTCCCTGCGAAACCCGCCAACTGCGGTGCCGGCGAGGAGGCCGTCGGCAGGGACCGGAAGTCCCGGGGTCCGCCGAGCGAACGAGCAAATGGCAGAAACCTGTGAGGTGCTGCCCGCCGCCCACAGGAACCCAAGACGCGGGGTGTTGATGCCTCATGCGTTGGCCCCGAGCGATGTCAGGAAGGGTCGTTACACTTGCCCCCCCCATACACCGGGCTGAGCGCCGTCACCCCCACACCTGGGGTCCTTGGGGTTAAATGGTGCTAACTGGAACTTGCTGGTCCCCCCCACCCCCCAACCCAAGCCTGAGGTCAAGCCGTTTGTAAGTGACTGCTCCCTGTAAGTGACCAGGCCCGGGAGGCGGTGTCCTCACTCCAGTCTCCAGCTCTGCCCCAGGGCCTGACTTCGCGTGTGGAAAGGAGGACGCGTGTGTGATTTTTTTTCCCCTATAAAATGACATACCATAATTAAATATTTTTAAATTGTTTAAAATAATAGAGTAGTTATGTTTTATTAATCTGCTACCTATTAATATGTTACCTAATAACTAACACTACTAATTAAACAGTTGAAGTTGCTTTTTCTCTAAGTTACAATTTAAAGAGCACATTTAAAGCATCAAGAGAATTCTGATTTTTGAGTTTCTGTTATTTTTAAACGATGTTTTTCAGTCTTTATATAAGCAATTTAAATACTAAGTTCACATCATAACATTAATTTCCTGCTGTGGAAAACAATTTACTCAAAATTATTTGTACTCATAAAACAGAAACTGTTCTCAATCTTGTGCAACTCAGAAGAGCTAATTGTGAAAATGGAACAAAATTTAAAGCAGGTGAAAACAAAGCTACAGAATTATGTCTGGTCAGTTACAGAATCAAAGACATGTGATTAAGATCAAGGAGCCCTCAGGAGCATCCTCCCTGAGAATGTAGGTAAATTCTGACACCCTTCTAAGATTGCCATAGCCTCTACGATAAACTCGGTAATGTTTAGAAACTATTAAATGCTGGAGTTATATGAGCATTGGAAGTCCTCTCTTCTGACTCAGTAATCCGATTTATTTTGACGTTCTTTCTCTCTCCTCTCTAATCTTAAAGGGCCTGAAGAGACAATAATTTGGAATTATTGAATCATAAACTTTAGAGGCTTCAGTGTAGCAATTAAATGGACACTGCATGCTGGAGAATTTTTTTCCTGGTTTTTTTCTTGCCCTAAATCCCTTCTTAGGCCTAACAAGTTAAACAGAAAACCACTGGCCCCAAATGGCCTCACTGGGGCTGAAACCCCAAGATAACTAACCTAAAGTTAATACCTGATCTAAATTTCAACCTCTCCCGGAAGTCGGAGTTTCCTGCTCAGCACTAGTGAGGATAACTTGCTTGATAAGAGCCGCTGCCTTCCAATGGAAGGTGTCCTTGCCTGAAATGATCCACTCTTTCAACTTCTTAGGGTCACCCTCTGTCTGCCTGTGAAACCCTCCTATTTTATACAACTCTTTGGAACTCCTTCCTGTTGCTTGATGGGACACTGCCCAACTCATGAATCTCTTAATAAAGCCAACTAGATCTTTCGACTTCCTCAGCTGAATTCTGTGTTTTAACAATGTTAGAAGTTATGAGGCCAATTCACGTTTGTATTACCTTTGAGGCCAGCATGCTGTTTTTGCAGATGTGGGGGTTTAGAACAAGCCACCACAAGATGTGTCTGTGATATGTGATTGTTTTGAGCCATGGGGAACTTTAACCAGGGTCCAAAAAACTTCTCCCCCCCCCCCCCCCCATTACCTAGAAGAACTTGAATTAGGGGACTTGCCCATAATAAGAGATTATCAAAGATAACCTTTTTGACCACCTAAGTGCCAGGGCAAACGTGTATTTACTAAATATCTGATCTTACCATCCTGCAATTACCCTTTGAAGCCTCCAATGGACATTACGTAATCCCTACCTCAGGATGTCTTCTATACTCATGTTCCCTTTTTATCTACCTCTCCTGCATGTGGGGTCTCCATGCATACGTGTGCATTAAATTTGATGATTTTGCTTCCTAATCTGTCTCATGTCCATTTAATAGACCAGTTGAAAGAACCTTGAGGATTGAGGAAAGTTTCTTCTTCCCCTGTACAGACACTGACAACTATGTAAACATAATTTAAACATGGAAAAAGACAGTGCTGAAAGGAGGAAAGAGACTGTTCTTTAGTTACAGGAACCCACAGCATACAAACACTAAACAAACGATGGATCCCATCAACGGCCAGAAAGACACCAATTTCCTGATCCTGTGTTCTCAGATGCCAGAAACTATCAATTCAAACACAAACCAAAAAAGATTAACAAATGACCCTGGTTCCAAATTCCCTGTCCTCCATCACTAATTTATGATCTCACCATCCAGCCCATAGACAGTATAATCAGAGAATCAAAATACGAAACTGGCAGGAATAGTTGAGCCTGCAAGGGGCAAGGACAGCTGAACAGGACGTTCTAAGCACTCAAGGCTGGACAGGTAGTTTAGGTCACACATTCCTATTGACTGCTAAGTTTGGACTCCGTCACGTCTTGGTGGGATCTTCAGAAAATGAATGGCTAAGGAGTTCACGATTAGCCTGCTCTTCATTTGTGTTGAAGGAAAACAATGAATTACCTCCCTCAACAAAGACAAAACCAGAAGTTACATAAAAGGGGGAGATGGGGTGTGTCAGGATGGCAGTGACTGCACATTTACCGGGTGGGCTGATTGATCAGCTGGCTCTTAAGGAAGGTGAGCCTGCCTCAGACCATCAGTACCTGAGAAGGCTCACCAGGGGCCCAGGTAAAATCCTTCGGGTGGTTCAGGCCATATAGCATCTGCCTGTGTCCTACGCTGGCACTTCCAGCCTGGTTGGCCCTGGGCCAGCACCCCTTCCCAAGCAATCAGATTCGAGAGAAACGGAGACCCAAGAGTCAGACAGGTCTTAGTATTCCTCCCAGATGTCAGAATCGGAGACTTACGTACAAATCCATAGCATTTTACTTAAAATTGTACAATTCTTTCAACTATGTTCTACACTCCCGCATGTTAAGTGAAAGCACCTCTTCTTAAGTGCTTGAAGTATGCTCCCGACGACTTGGAGACAACTTAAAGTTCTCTTCCTAGCCTGAAGTTTCCATCTGTGGCAAACATCACACGTAATTAAGGAAACTCCCAATCTGCACCCTGCCTGTGCCTGTACTAAGTCACCGTTTTCCACGTTAAGACCCAACACACCAAGATAACACTGAGTTACAGCTCTTTTGTGAAAATGTGGGTGGCTCTGAAAAGAGCCTTTGGGTTCCAGGGTGCTGCACAGGCGCTCACTTTGAGCTGGTGTACTTGGTGACGGCCTTGGTGCCCTCGGACACGGCGTGCTTGGCCAGCTCCCCGGGCAGCAGCAGGCGCACGGCCGTCTGGATCTCCCGGGACGTGACGGTTGAGCGCTTGTTGTAATGCGCCAGGCGCGACGCCTCGCCCGCGATGCGCTCGAAGATGTCGTTGACGAACGAGTTCATGATGCCCATGGCCTTGGACGAGATGCCCGTGTCCGGGTGCACCTGCTTCAGCACCTTGTACACGTACACCGCGTAGCTCTCCTTGCGGCTGCGCTTGCGCTTCTTGCCGTCTTTCTTCTGCGCCTTGGTCACCGCCTTTTTGGAGCCCTTTTTCGGGGCGGGCGCCGACTTCGCTGGCTCAGGCATCTTAACGTCTCAAAATACAGACACGTGAAGCTACGAACCGGATCTCTGGTACTTATAGGGGCTTTATGCTAATGAGGAATGCAGAGAGCCTCGTAGTTCATTGGAAAGTAAACGCCAAACTGTCATCAGTGGGCCGAGCTATTCAAATTAGGTATGGAAATGAAGCTCTTCTATTGGCTACTTGACTGAGTATGTCACTAGCCAATCAGACAGCCTGATTTACTCCCTTGGAACTGCCTATAAAAGCAGCAGTGTTAGAGCTACTGCCAGAATTCGTGTATTTTAGGGCGGCTACGTAGGCTTGTTTGGAGGCCCTTTGTTTAATTAGCAATGTCTGGACGCGGTAAGCAAGGTGGTAAGGCTCGCGCTAAAGCGAAATCTCGTTCGTCGAGGGCCGGGCTCCAGTTCCCCGTGGGCCGCGTGCACCGGCTGCTCCGTAAGGGCAACTACGCCGAGCGGGTCGGGGCCGGCGCGCCCGTGTACCTGGCGGCCGTGCTGGAGTACCTGACGGCCGAGATCCTGGAGCTGGCGGGCAACGCGGCCCGCGACAACAAGAAGACGCGCATCATCCCGCGCCACCTGCAGCTGGCCATCCGCAACGACGAGGAGCTCAACAAGCTGCTGGGCAAGGTCACCATCGCGCAGGGCGGTGTCCTGCCCAACATCCAGGCCGTGCTGCTGCCCAAGAAGACCGAGAGCCACCACAAGGCCAAGGGCAAGTGATTTGACTGACACCTGTTTTCGGAAACGCTTTAAAACCCAAAGGCTCTTTTCAGAGCCCCCCCACCACCTCAAAGGAAGAGCTATCACTTCAGGTTTAAAAGAAAAAGACAAAGGTAAGCTTAGTTTTTTTTAAGCAGCGATGCGGTTTGTTAGGTCTGCACGTTAAACACTCAGGGTGTTGCTAAAAATACGGCGGCTTTTAGAAAACCAGTGGTGAGTGGCCTGACGTGTGCGTGCGTGGTAGTTAAAAGTCTCATGAAGTGGGTTGATAGTGTGTTTACAGCCGCGGGGTCCGGCTTTGGTACTGAGGGGGGGTTAGCTGCAGAAGTAGAGGGGTGTCTCACGTCAGGTCGCTTTGCAGATTTCTCGGATTATCCCGAAAGCCACCTTTCCCGAGCTAGCAGGTTGTAACATCTTGCTCTGCTCCCTGAGGGTGTTTACGTTCTAAACCACCACTTGAAGTTTACCTGGGCGGAGAGGGAGGGGCCTCTGAAAAGATATTTTCTGGAGTTGATAAAGGATAGCTCAAAGCACAGATTCTAGACTTGAATGGCAGGCAGTTCCAGTTTCTGATCCCTGTACAGTTTTGCTACCTGTAAACTGGCAGATCGAGGGTGTATTCTGCCTGACATTCAGTGAACCCCATGCAAATATTAATACATTTTAAGAGGTTTTCGCCTGTTTTCTGACGCAGCCGGAAAAAGGGTAGACTAGTGCCCAAGGCCTCCCCAAAACAGTTGCTGCTAGGGATCTGGTAACTCAGCTGCGCCAACTCCATTAAGTGACAATCCGGGACCATGTAAAAGTCCCCAGGGTCCTAGTACCCAGGGTTGAATCTCACGAGGATTTTGCTCTGGCTGACCACCCCATCCCCACCCTGGCCTTGCAACCAGCAGAGAAAGCAGCAGCTGGCATGAGTATGGTGGAGGCGAAGCGGCAGAAACAAGTGAACACCTTGATGGCCAAGTAAGGCTTTTCTGAGGGATTTTTCCTGAGGGGCATTTGACGATTCTAATGGGCAGCGAGACTCCCGAGTCCTCAGACCTGGGGTAGGCCTGACCACCTAGAAGACGGGCTCTTTCCGCCCAGCATTTCCTACTGTTCCTACGTTGGAGAATTTGGATCCTCAAGTTGGATTGCTGACATGAGCCCTGGATCCTTCTCGTTTACGCAGGTTGCCTCTGAACCCAGTGCCAACACAGGTGTGAGCTTGGCTGGCCAGGTGCTGAAGCTCTCCCTGCTCCTCTGTCTGCTGTGTGCCTTGCCTTCTGAAGTTAGAACACGGGGCGCCCGCGATAATGGCCAATACCCACAATACTCGCTGGCAGGCACATTCCCTGTGCGTCCAGCATACGAATTCATTTAACCCAACACTTAGCCTTACCCCGTTTTAAAGTTGAGACAGGAACCCAGGGTCAACAGCTTGCCTGGGCTCCAAGGTCAGGAAGACAGGCTTTCTAACTGCTGGCTGGTCTGTAACCCTGTGCCCTGAGATGATTGCTAGAATAATGCAACCAGTGGAAAGGGCACATTGTGGCTGAACTTTGACCACAACTGAGTGTTACTGATTACGTCCTAAACGCTGAAGAGCTCAAGGGAAGGAGGGCAGCTCTCCCAGAATCTAAGTAAAGAGAGGGAAGTAGATTTTGACACTGTTAGCCTGTAAACCCAGAAAAAAAAATAGCCAATCACTTTTGCTTGCGTGTGTGACAAGCGAAACAAAGAACAGGTGGGGAGATGGTTGAGTAAAGAACTACAGAAGTCAAACTATTGTGAGTGAGGAAAGGAGCTAGAGAAGACTTGAGTTTGAATTTTCCCTCTAGGAAAATTTTTTTTTCATTTTAAATTTTGGGCGCTGTTAAAAGTTTCCATTTGATTACTTAGTAGCAAATGATACATTGTGTTAATTTTGTTTCCTCTTCAGGGGGCCTTTAAAGTCAAGGACCCCAACTGGATACACACTGTTGCTAGCAGGCAGGAGCCCAGCATACAATAAACACTTGAGAGAATGCTCTAGTGGACAAGAAACGCTCAGCAGCTTTGGTTGTTTCCCACCCCTTGAGCAGGTCTCTATCTACCATGCCCCCAAGGTCCTGGGGAGGACCATTTCAACAGCCGAGTGAGGAGAACTGAAGGCCCCCAGGTACCAGGGATAAAAAGCCAATTTACTGACATGTGAAGCCTAGGCAGAATCACTTGGTTATATGGCGCTTTCCAAACAAGCACGTCAGCTTGACATGTCACCAATGATAAGGTCCCTTTTTAAATTTCCAAAGACTTGGTGCAGCAGTATCCTTTCCTTTACTCCATCACCCACTTGCTTCCTATTTTTCTGTTACTTGAGTTCTTTTATAATATAAATTTTATAATCGGTTGTAAAAAGTTGTATGTATTTTAAGGTTAGAATTAGGTTAACTTCTAAAGGTTTGTCATCTGTTGATATTAAATCATAACTATAAATATAAATATTCCTGTTAAGTATAATGCATGTGTATTATTAGAAATTAGAAATTTAATTGAGGTTTCCCATGCATACTGAAATTGAGAATAAGGGCTCATAGGTAGCCCCGGAATTTTTCCCTATTTTATTCCAATACTTTAATATTGTGTTTTAAGACTAAGAGTAGCATCATCAGATCTACTAAAAGATAGCCATCGCCTATATTTACACCTAGAAAACCATACCCTTAATAAATAGACAAATCTATGAAAAACTCAAGTACTATATAACCGTTCTACCTCCAAGAGACATTGGAATATGACATGGTGGCCTTCAAAACAAGGTGAAATCTCAGGCATGGAATGACTGTAGTCACAACGGGAAAAGCAGGAGAATTGCAGTGGTTTGTCGGACGTGTAGTTTGGGCAGAGGGAGACAGCTGCCATTTCTTAGGACTGGGACTTAATGCATGTCACTCACGATTGCAGCTGTTCCGGGAAGGATGCAAGTGTGCCAAGTCAGCTTCAGACTCTGTTACGTGTTGTTTGTCTGTCAGTCGGAGTGCAAACCTTTACCACATTCGTCAACTCTCACGGACGCCAGGCTGTGGCAGGTGAGAAAAAACAGACCGCTAACCTTCCTCGTAGTTAAGCTGTGTCACAGCAGCAAGGGACACCAATTCTTACTACAAAAACCAGTAAGACTCAGGACTGCTGAGGATGAGAAGAATTGATTGCCACTGTTGTATAAACTTTCTTGAGAAACTGTTCTCGGTGACATTGATTAAAATGGATTAAGAGACGCTTCGCCTTTTGTCAACAAGGTAATATTAGATAAATAAAGAAATGAAAAAGGGAAAAAGTAGACACGGGAAGAGGGTATGTCCCGTCTAGAAATAGAAGCTCCACTCTGAGGTTGTGTGAGCCTTTAAAACATCTGTATGGAAAGTGTTAAAATGAGCATGTATTCAGTTTATCACTTAAAGCATAGAAATAAAAAGTAACCTTCCTTTGCCCACTTCTCATGCCAGCTCTTTAACAACCAAACTGCTTGGATTCTACAAAATACAATCTGAGGTTTTATGACCAGATTTCTCGTCGTCTGCCTCTGTCCCTTACGCCCTTCCATGACGTCGGGGCCTGATCTGTCTACTCACTGTGACACCCAGCCTCTAGCAGGGAGCCTGGCACCTTGTGGGCATGCATCTCTGGGAGGGGGTGGGGCTCAGAAAGCCCTCAGACTCCACGCACGGTTATTGGAGCTTGCATATGTGTATACGTAAAAGTGCCCGCTAACCATTGCTCCTGTGTCCCTTCCCACCCTCCCCAGCTACAGGTGTGCAGGGCAGTTTGGAGTGCACCCCACTTGCTTTCCACACCCCACCTTTCCAGGTCTCTGCACTAACCTCTCCAGGCTCAATGCCACACGGTCACCTCAGGAAGCCCTTAATTCCTGGGTGCTGGCTGTTGGCAACATGCACAAAACAGTCCTCTTCATCTGATGCGGGGGCTCTGGTCCCTCGGTTTTGCTTTGAATCGTGAAAAGGGGATCATTTCTGCATAGAAATGGAATGATCACTAAGCCGCAGGGACTGGAGTTGGTCCCTGGGGTGTGCCATTGTAGCCACCAGTCCGTCTTAAGTTCCAGTCGCTGCCTTTGGTGGGAGATACGTGACTGGTTGGTTCTAGAGCTGCTCTGTCCAATACAGAAGCCACTAGCCACGTGTGACCTCTTAAAATAGAAGAATTAAGCATCCAGGACCACATTTCAAGTTCTTGGCGACCGCCATATTGGACAGTAAAGATACAGGACATACCTATTGTCACAGCAAGTTCTATTGGCCGCACAGAGCTAGGTCCTTCTTGTCCCTGTGGGTTAACGTGTTCAAGTGCACTCAGCCAGCTTCCTCCGGGTGACCCCTGATAAAATATGGGATGCTCAGTTAAATTTCAATCTCAGATAAACAACACATAATTGCTTTATTATCCATATGGCCTGAAATACTGCATGAGACATACTGGAGTAAGACAAAAATTGTTGTTATCAGAAATTCATATATAACTGAGCACCTAGGTTTTCATTTGCCAAATCTGGGTCCTCTCACCACCCAGGTTGTTATGTAAGGAACTGAGAAGCTAACCCATGAGGAAACAGGTCTGTACATTTTCTGCCAGTGTTCAGAAAGGCTGAGAAAGAAGTTCTCAAACATACTTACTTTGCTGTCTTCTCCCCGTAGGTGTCAAACGCTTGTCACTGCGGAGATGCCTGAAGCCCCGTGTCTGCCAGACTCATCAGTGCTCAGAAACAAGTAGATGGATGACATCCAAGTTCTAACATCACTGACTGACTGTGCACCTGCACATTTTTCCTCTTGAAAACTTCCTCCGGTCTAATTACTTTGTGTACCTGTGTGCCGTGGGGATAAGGAGAGTAAAGAGGAGAGAAAGTAATTACTGAGTGGAAGCAGCACTCTCTCATCCAAAAATGTCTAATTTTTTGAATGAGCAAATGCATTCGGAGGGTTCAAACAAATCCAAGGAACAAGGTGTGCATGCAGAACGCCCTCTTCCACTGGACTAGCACATCAGCATTGCTAATTCATGCAGCTGTGAGACAAGAAAGAGTGCGTTCCCCACCCCCCCTGCACTCAGTCTGTCTTGAAGAGCTTTCCAGACTAAGCAGGGAGCTCCCTTCCTGTACGCCTAGCTCCTAGCTCCGTGGCGTACTGTGTGGCTGCCGTTTGTGTCACCTGCCTCCTGTTGGCAGGCACTGGAGCCAACTCTGGAATGATAAGCCCTGATTTACAGCCCATTGAAAGTGTTCTCATATTCTGCTGCGATGGTGGAAAGAGAACAGAAACTGGAGTCCCTCATGGGTTGGACTCAAGTTTCTGCCCCTTATAAACTATGTGGCTTCAGCCAAGGTAGTAATGTTGGACCTCCGTTTCCTCCTCTGGGAAATGCGGGTAATACAGAATGAAAAAAAAAAAAAAAAGATCACGCGTCTGAATTGCTTGGAGCTGTGAAGAACAGCACAAATAAAGTTAGTTGATTGTCAGCACCGTTTCTTTCCTGAGAGTTACGTGTAATGTATTGTAATAGGAGCAGATTCCCCAAGCTGCAGCCTTGGCACCAGGAAAGGGAAGATGGTGCCAAGCGGGAGGACGACAGTTCCCCTGACCTTGGGACATCTCCCTGGTTAAATGGCCGCTGCCGCCCTCCTCGCATAGGACTTAGGAAGCACGGCCTCCCTGCCCACCGGCCCCTGCCCTCAGGGTTGGGTTTGAAGGTCCCTAGACTCTGTGAAATGGGGGTGTTAGGGGCCGGGCCTGCGTGGCTCTCCACCGGGCACCCGACACCCACGGGCATGTGTGTAGGAGACACTGGGATATCTGAACCCATGGAGGGGGTTGCAGGAGGCAGACAGCGCCTCCGCCTTATGACGTACCTGCATAAGTGTCCCGAGCGGCCCGCGTGCGCACACGTGAGTGTGGGGCCCAGACACGCAGCGATGCTCCTTATGGGGAGAGTGCGTTTGGGTTGAGCTGTGCCCAGTGCCTGACTGGGGGACTCACCTGCCACTCCCGAAAATCAGGCTTTCCATCTGTAAAATGAAATAGCACATCCCAGAGTTTTGAAAACCAGTCAGGTGAGCTGGCACATGACAAAGCACTTTTTTATCTCCCTGTCTCTGTCGCTCTGTCCCTGTGTCCCTTCCTGATTCTCCCTATCTATCTTTCTCTCCCTCTCATGCACACACATGTTGGATCACACTATGGTGCTGTTTCCCCACCTAGAAGGGTCCTGTCTCCACTTCCGATGACCCCAATGCTTCAGGGCTGATTTGAGTCCACACTCCCATGGTCTGCACCACTGCACATCCTAACGTACTGTTTCCCATCTACTGTGTTTTCATATCTGCTTTCCAAATTTTATGAGGAAGCCCAGAACACTCTGCAAGCAGATACTCACCTGCCTAACCCCTCACTTGCTTCATGCTTTTGCTCAAATGTCACCTACTCCATGAGGCCTTCCCTCACCATCCTACTCCCAGAGGGGAAGACATGCCTTTGGGGGAGGGGCCATGAGCTGGCCCATGATGATGCTGGGAGCGAAATGCCATGACCACAGCCAAGACCAGCAGGGATGTTGAAACAACGGCCCCAAGGACTTCCTCTGGGTTGCCTGGCAATGAACTGGGAACAATGCAGCTTTTCTCCCTGTGGGAGGCTCAGCCAATGTTCCCTGGTGCCGGGAGGCTGGCGTTCAGAGCTGACACCCCCACAGAAACTGTTTCTCCTTATCCAAGTCGGCTGTCACGCTTTGTCTATGAAAGGGAACCACACAGGTGGTGGGTCCCCCCTGGGGCACAGCCTCTCTGTGCATGAGCCTGTCCCCTTCCCAGGCACATGGCTCTGAGGGCTGCATAAAAACAGGCACTCACATCTGCTGACTTCTGCCCATGAGTTGCAGCAGGAACAAGTGACACTGTGCCTGCTGACAAGATAGAAGCCACAGCAGGAGGACCTATCAGAGCGAGTTAAATGACTCTAGTGTGGTACTTCCTGAGTGTGAAGGAGCGGATATGTTTTCCGTAAGGGGCCAGGGTCTAACTTCTTAATCATCATTCTGGTCACCTTGTGTCCCATCTTCTCACATGCTCTTCCTGAAAGCGACAAACCACTAACAGCTCTTTCTGTAATTTTCCATTTGTCCCCTTGACAAATTTTTTGTCCATCTCTTCCCCACCATCTGTCTTTCCTCTCCATGTAGCCTCAACTATTTTTTAAGGAGCACTTTCAAACAGTATCTTTCTTGTTTTCATAATAAATAAGTGGTCAGTGTTGAAATATGTGGAGACCCTACTACAGCCGGGCTTGGCGGATGCCAGGCGAGACTTGGTGGTGCCGGAAGGTGGTGCTGGAGTCAGAGCCACGCTGCCAGGCTCCACCCTCAGGCCCCACTGCTGGGATTCCACTGTGGCTCAGCAGCTGGGCCTCAGATCAGGACAATAGGTATCCTGGGGAAGATGCTGTGAGATGAGCAAATCCTGCTTCTCCTGGAACTTTGACCCAGTGACGTGAGTGTCCAGCTGTGGGTTTATCTGCAACAAGGAAGAGTTGTTCCTTCTCTTTAGGTATTTGCATATTTACATATTCATGGCTGTATGTAGTATCATGTGAGTCAAAAATGCAATATTACCAATTTTTATTTGTGGCTTACATGGTACCAGCCTAGGACACTAGTAGCCCCGGGACACTGGTTTGCATGTTCTCTCCACAAGTTGCCATCTTTTTAAAACATCTCTTTATTTCCTAGCACCACCAGACAGTCCAGACCCTCTGTGTTTTCCCTGCTCCAGACTTGGAATCAGCCA